GATAAGAGAAGAAGACAGATTGAGAGCCACTGGTCTGGCAATCAATCGAAGAGATGGCTTCGAGCTACCGTCCACTCAGAGAGCACTTCACAGCCCGTCTTCGACACTACATTCCAGCACATTGCCTGGTCAAGCTAATGAACTGGCCGCTAATGTCATTAATGAAGCAAAAGTAGAAGGCTACACGGGGAAAGTTTCTACGGCCCTACAACCCTATCGGGGTCATTTGAGAGTGAAAGGTGCTGAGAATGACCTGGGTTCACTGGGGCCCACAGGGATCTATTATTCGCAGCTCACGCCTGATTTCAAAGATTCTGAAAACAATCCATTCACGTCGGACACTAATGCTATCTCTCATACTCGTACGACTGTCTCATCGATTGTTACGCAAGAAATTGTACCTCATCTAAATTCAGCTCAAGAGCTAAGAGAGACACCAAAAGGGCATTGTATTTGGATCACTGTGCCTTTTTCAACACACGATCCGGACGCAAAAGAAAGATGCGCAGTTGGACAAAGTCAAGACACATTTACTAGCGCCACAACAATTAAGACACATGATAAGTCTTATCAGTCTAACGACGAGGAAAACTCAGAATGTGTGAAGAGAATAGAGATCGAGCACCCTCCGGAGAACGGACAGAAAGCAATTAGTAAGAAAAATGTGGCTGGTGATCCAAATAAAAAAGACCATGTAAATGATCAGTTTAAATTCAAGGCATCCAGCCTATTCAATAATGAACTGCAGACGTCGCCTCCAGCCTCGTACAAATTCGGCTGTAATTTGAATGCGCTTGACATAGGCGGCGCAAACGTTGGACAAGAGGTTAATAGTAAGGAGCATTCCCCAATATCAGAGGCCGATAAAATAAGCAGGGTAGGGGACTTAATCAGCTCAAGTATACAGTTATCTCCAGTTTTACAAGCTTCGCACCGTACAGCCAAAGCACGTGATGAAAACTTTTTTTTCCCTCCTTTTCTGATGTACGCTAACTCAACAACAGGTAAACATAGCCTAGGCAGAGGCGACGACGAAGAAACTTTACCATTCGCAAACAGGAAACAAGGGGATGCCAGCACCCCGGAAGACACCGCCGCCACAGCACAGTCCACCCGCCACAAAGCGAAAACGGAAACCATGTCCACAAGTTCCGCAGTCAAAAAGGGACGAGCTCTCCCGAGCGCACCAGCGACGGTGTGCGGTGGGAAGTGCGAGCCGCAGCAGGCGGTTTCATCGATCGGTTTGGCTAGCACTCGTGTCGGAGTCGAGAGTGTTCAGACTCGATGTGCGTCTCGTCTTTCAACACCCCACCCTCACGGGACGTTGCTGCAATCTTTTCAGCGTTTACCCCCACCCCTAACAACCAGTCTATTGCCTATGCCGACCACTGAGCCCAAACACTTTCCTAAGTCCGATGATTACCTGTCTAACCACAAAGTGAATGCGGATCACGACCTTTACCCTGTAAGGTCATTAGTTTTTGTTTATAGAAATGAAAACAATACAGCAAACAAGATTAACGACGTCTCTATGAGGTTGGACACAACTTTAAATAAGGCGCTGATCGGAGATAAACGGGAAATCGGCGCCCGTATTCAGAACCCTTTTAATAATGGAGGGTCTGTAAAGACGTCTCCCCTGGGGAGCTCACCAAACTCAGCAAAAGGATTGCCTTCTTCGACACAGGTAAAGAAGAAAACATTCCTAAATCGAGTTCCCGAGAGCAAGGCGAGCGCTACCGAAGACGATGTCGTGGCTGAGCGTTGTGAGACAAACGTCTGTACGCCCACCGCGCGCAACTTTGCGAGTGCAGATCAGACCAAAACGTTCGCTAATCTCGTCTGCTTTCCCGGAAGCGGGGCGGTGGAGTGCGCGGGCGCCGAGGGACACGTAAGTATTGTAGGCAGGTACGCGCGAGATGAACAGAACAACACGCGAGCGATCGAAAGTGCTGGATGTGATTTTAGCCCGGTGGATGCGTCGAAGCCCATTCATGCTGGCATTTCCATCGCCACGAAAGAGCACGGACACGGCCGTGCACCAAGGGAATTGCACTACGAATCTTGGAGCATTACCGCTAATGGCCAATCAGGCAAAGTGCCTACGCCACGTGACCGAAAAGCACTAGGTCACGCGGTAGATGGACAGTGTAGACCAAACACTTCCGATGTGAACGAACACAGTGTTCACACAAGTAGTTTAGATATTTCGACTCCTTCTTCTTCGGCGAAAGCGACGGAGATTGGCGGAAAGTTCCGATCTATCATCAAGAAGAAGGAGGCTACGGATATTACCGATTACGACATTCTCGATAATGCCCTAGCAGACAAGGCAGCAATCCTTTCGGAGAAAGAACAGCAGTTTTCGAAAGACGTTTCGGTCAATGATACTTCACGCTTCGCTAAGGACGGACACAGGAGCGTAACCCGGGTTACGTTCTCACTAGCAACGAAGGAGCTCGGTGAGAAGACGCCAGGCGAGATACACTACGACCAGGGCGAAAGTGAGCGCCTCATTTCAGCTTTCCCTACAGCTCCTCTCCGAGTGACCCTCCCGCTGGACAAGCGACACTCTTTCGGAAAAGCGGACTACCCTTCGAAGAGCACGCCCCTGCTTGACGACACGGACTGGGACGAGATGGACGGGCGAGGGATTGAGATCATCGTCTCGGACGAAAACGACGCCAGGGTGTCCACGGTCAATTCCGGAAAGAGGGCAGTCCTTCGGCGAATATGGATGATTCTGCTGGACAACAGGGTGGCGGGGCGCCCAGACAGCGAGAGGGCGCTCCGTCCTCACCACGAGGAGTACCGTGTCCTGAAGAGAGTGCTTAACATCGTTTTCATCACCATAGGCGTTGCCCTGCTGGTTTCAGTATTCGTTGTGATTATATACACCTATGTTGGTGAGTAGTCTTTCTTCTTTTCTTAAATTCTTAACACAGTTCGGGAAAAAGAATGAAATACGCATGGCCTAATACTCTCCTTTATTCTGCTTTAAACATTCGCACTAATTACACTATATTTTTTTAACGTAACACAACGAGATCTATGCCTTGATAAACACGCCTTTTTATATTGCTTGTAACATCTTTCTCCAAAGCTTACATCAACTCCCTTTCTCTGTCTCTGTCTGTGTCTGGTGTACACAATCTTGTACACGTTGTTTCTCCCACTACCCATGCTCAGATGGAGTTAAAACTTTGCACATATATATAACTGTAAATGTACAGTACTTTCCCTTTTTTTAGCTTTGCTGTTTGTTTTGTTTTTACAACTATTTTTAAGATTCTGCTCGTTTTAATATTTCAACCACCACGGGGATAAAGGATTTTCTACTTTTGGAAATGGCCTTCACAGAACCTATGTTTCAAATTATTCCCATTTAGATAGAGAGAGCTTTAACATTCTTTAACATTGTCCAGCTTTTCTTTGGACGACCTCTTCTAGGTGCTCCTTGACCTGTACCTTGAAAGATGATAGTGATCTATGTCTTACACTATGACTAAACCAGCTCAACTCTTGTCTCTTCTCAGTATTACACAACTTCTCCATGTTGCCAGCCTGCGTGTTGACTTGTAACAGTGCAAACTTTTTTGTCTTGGTTTCCTGGTACATGATCCCCCAACATTATTATGAGAATAATCAGGAAAGAAAAACTAACTCATGATCTTTTATTACAAAGGGGATTAAGTCTGAAAGGTGAACATTCACGGCTTTGCATAATTGAGTCCTAGACTCAACACTAAGCAGCCAATTTCTCTATCACTTGGCCAAAGACAACTCCATCCATTTCAACAACCAGTTAATCAAATGTAATGGGCCTAAGGTGTTACATCACGCATTTTTTAATATTAATAGATAGTCTGTAGTTATTATCACTATTAATATACAGTTAGTAGTTTAAAATACACCTGAGCAATCATTAAGATAAACCAATCCTGGTCTATTGGCCAGTAATGTGGTGTCCCCGGCAACACTTGCAAAACTTAAAACAATCTGGAGAGATAAGGAATACCCCTCGTCACTAAAAATCAATTTACCGTAATTTACATAAATGATTTACCAAATTGCATTACTTCAGCAGAAATAAATACCTATCCCTGTTAATATTAATAGCAGGAGATGTAGAGTCAATTCCAGGGCCTAGATCTAAAGATAGATGCAACATCTGCAAAAAAGTATGCACCATGAAACAGAAAGCCATTCAATGTGACACCTGCGATGAATGGTACCATGCATCATGTCTCCATATGAATACACCTGTGTATTATGCCTTAGGCAACAAAGACGCATCATGGCAATGTGTACCGTGTGGGTTACCTCAGTTTACATCAGGACTGTTTGATTCCTTTGATGCGGACATTTCTAACCCATACAATATCCTAAACACCATCCCAAACCAAACTCACCAGCCACTAGCCAGATCCACTCCTGTTAAACCTAAATTTACTAAAATTAACACAACAGCCTCACTAAACAAACCTACTAAAGAATTAATACCAAAATACCTTAAAACCTTAGTAAACAATTTTCAAAGCATTAGGAACAAAACAGCAGACTTAGAATATTTATTAAAATGTGAGAAACCAGACATAATTGCAGGAACAGAAACTTGGCTACATCCTGAAATTTATAATGCAGAAATTTTCAATAGTAATTATGTAATTTTTAGAAAAGATAGGGCTGATAATCATGGAGGAGTTCTTCTAGCAATAAAAAACACTCTTATAGCAGAAGAAATTACCTTACCTAACTCAAAAAATATAGAATCAACATTTTGTAAAATTAATACCACCTCAACATCCCTAATAATAGGCAGCATTTACAGACCACCAAATTCTAGTTTAGAATACATGCAGGAACTATGTAATCAGATTACTACACTTAAAGAGACAAATAAAAATGCAGTTTTTTGGATTATGGGTGATTTCAACCTACCTGATATAAATTGGAAAACACTAACCATAGATAAACACCAAAACCTTAAGGACATAAATGAGCTTTTCATAGAAACTTTACACAACCTAAGTTTAGATCAAATCATTAAAAAGACAACTAGATTAAACAACACATTAGATCTCTTCTTAACCAACAGACCTGGATTAGTAGTTGATTATAATATTATCCCTGGTCTATCAGACCATTAGATCATAAAAATACACAGTCAGATAAAAGCAGTAGCCAATTCAAAACCCAAGAGAAAACTCTTACTCTGGAATAAATGTAACCTAACACAACTACACCAAACTGCATTAAACTTTCAACAAACATTCTTATTAGAAAAAGACATTAACCAACCAGTCTCTGGAATTTCATTAAAAACAATCTTAAAAGCATTATAGAAAATAATATGCCAACTAAATGCACATCAAACAAAATAAACAAATGCTGGTTTAATAATAATATAGTAAAGAAGTTTTGTAAACAGAAGGAAAACCTATATAAAAAATGTAAAGAAACTAAGGCAGAAAGAGTTTACAAAAAGTATATAAAAATTAAACACTTAACCCAAAAAGTCAGCAGATAGCTGCAGAGTGAATACATAAACAATGTAAAATCTAAAGATAACAACAAAAACCTATGGTCATACATTAAGTTTAAGAAAATGGAAAATACAGGCATAGCGCCATTAAAAGATGAACATAACATAATACATAATGATAATGAAACTAAAGCAAACATCCTAAACAAATACTTTGCATCAGCATTCTCAGCCCCAGGAGACAAAGACATATTATTGAATTTGAACCAAGTAGACAACATAGAAGATATAGTAGTACAAGAAAATGGAATTCAAAAACTATTAGCCAACACCAAACCAAATAAAGCGTCTGGACCTGATGGTATTCCAGCTAGATTACTCAAAGAACTAAGCACTGAGCTAGCACAAGTGTTCAAAATACTTTTTCAGGCATCTCTTAACCAGGGCAGAGTACCAAACGACTGGAAAGAAGCTAATGTCAACCCCCTATTTAAAAAAGGAGAAAAATCTGACCCAGGAAACTACAGACCAGTATCACTTACCAGCATTACATGTAAAATCCTACAACACATAATATGTAGCAACATTATAAACCACTTAGACAAACATAATGTCCTCACATCATACCAACAGGGCTTTAGGAAATAAAGATCATGTGAAACATAACTAATAGGACTAATTGATGATTTTTCTAAAGGTTTAGATAATAGTGAACAAATAGATGCTATCTTACTAGATTTTTCTAAGGCTTTTGACAAAGTTCACCACCATAGTTTGCATCAGTGGATTAAAGATTTTCTGATAGGGAGAGAACAAACTGTAATAATAAATGGCTCTAAATCAACACCGATAACAGTAAACTCAGGTGTACCTCAAGGAACAGTCTTCTATTTTTAATTTACATAAATGATTTACCAAATTGCATTACTTCAGGAACAAAAGTCAGATTATTTGCAGACGATTGCATAATATATAGAACAATGAAAACAACACAAGACACAGATATTTTACAAAAAGAATTAGATGAATTACAGAAATGGGAATCAAATTGAAGCATGTCTTTCCACCCAGAAAAATGTCAGTTGTTAAGAGTAACAACAAAATCTAAAACAAATTAATTCCACTTATCTTATTCATGGCAAACCAGTAACATAGACTAAAAACGCAAAATACCTAGGTGTTATAATAAATGAAAAACTGTCATGGAATCCACATGTGACGAAACTATAAAAAAAATCAAACAAAGCATTAGGATTTATTCAAAGAAATTTCTATAAATCAAATAAGAACATAAAACTAAAATGTTATTTAACCTTGGTTAGGCCAATAATAGAATATGCATCCTCCGTTTGGGACCTCTCAACTCAAGAAAACATTAAGAAACTGGAACAGACACAAAATAGAGCAGTGAGATTTATAACAAATGAATATTCACATTTAACTAGAGTAACACCTATAGTAAAATCACTAAATTTAGAAAGCCTTTAGGACAGAAGACTCAAAAGTAAAGTAGCAATGATACATAAAACACTGAACCATAATCTTTAAATACAAAAACAAAATTTAATAAATTACTCTGAAAGACACAAAGATAAAGGCACATTCCTCGTCCCATATGCTAGGACAAATTGTACAAATACTCCTTCTTCCCTAGTGCTATTAGAGCATGGAATGGGTTGCCTGAGCTAGCCAGAAAACCAGTGACTTGGCAGAATTTAAGTCATTGGTTAATATGCATGACTAAATGCATGACGTAATCATTTTCTTTATTGAAGTAACGTCTGTATTATATAAGATAAGATAAGATTAGATAATCAGATATTCACTTTTAGGTTATGGCCACATTCTTGTATGCTGGCGAATCCTGGACGCTACTTGCAGATCTAAAAACTTGGAACCTAGCAATGGAATCGAGATGCTATAGAAGGATCCTAGGAATTACCTACAATGATAGCATCATAAAAGAGGAGATAGAAACAGGATCACAACAGCCTTTGAGTGCCACGATGACCTGCTGACCATTGTAAAAAAAACAACTATATGTCCATATCACAATGTTTTCATGGCCAGCAAAGACATTCAGGGAACAGTACCAGGAAGACAGAATATTGAAGCAGACAGAGAAAGCGATAGGAACACAAGATAAAACAAGCAATAGAAAAAAAAACTTTAAAAAAAAAACAAAGCATATCTAAGGGAAAGAACTTCTAACTACTGCCATTTATCAGAGAATTACAGAGTTTAGCCTCCTTACTGCTATATAAAACAATGTGATTTAATTAATACTAAATGATAAACTAATATATTCATTCATGTATTGTTATCCACTTTGAATATCTGTGCAATATTTAAACTTGATTCGAGAAATCTAAGTGGGAGAAAAAAGTGTGTCAAAATGTAACAAGGGAACTAATGTATATATATTTAAATGTAAATAATAAGGCTTGTCTTCGAGTCCAAAGATTACCGAGGAATGCAGTATTTCACGTGGATACGAAGCCCCAGCTGTGACCTACATATTTTGCCACATATCAGGGCAAGCACAACTATTGTCCTCTGTGGTCGATTACAATTTTCTTTTCGCCGTCTTCGCCTCTCCTTAACAGCGGATTTTTTTTAGTCTCAAGTGTGTATCCCGAGTCCTTTGTGAGTGTTCTCTCATGAAGTAGCATTTATTCCTTTTATTTCGAAATCAAACAAAATAATTAATCACCAGTAATTAATGAATTATTGGTTTAATTTTCTTTTTATTGATTCATTTCTTGTCAAGTTTAATAATTAATTGTGCAAAGTTTAACTAGATCCAATTATGGGAAATGGGAAAAAAAACATGTACAATCTTTTTACCAGACAGACAGACAGACAGACAGATGTAGTGAGTTGATATAAGCTTTTAATAAACGGGTTTGTCATTGAAGGGCAAAAGACACATGATAGATCATGTTTGGAGCCCCAGCGGTTCATCAGAAAGGTGAATATATAGTCCAACAGTACGTTGCTAATCCGCCTAATATTGCCCGTAACGAATGTAACATCAGACAGTAAAATCAATACTGATGTAACAATGTTTCCAGTCCGATATTCTCCGTGTCCTCTTGTCCAATTGACATTCTTCTATTATGCCGCACAGCCCGAGGGATATCGAAAGGGGGAACAAATACAGTGATATTAAAAGACTTGTTTTGGAGAATTGTTTTCAAGAACTTTGATCATTGCTGCTATGTAACCATTGAGACCTAGACATTTTTTCAATAAGACAGTTTTTTTTTCCTAGGTGAAAGAGAAACAAGGTTAGCTTTAATTATGTTTGCATTTATTTATATATTATGTTTGGACTTAAAAGTTGATAGTTGGTACTAGTTGGTAGACTCTGGATGTATGGGGGGGGGGGGGGGTTGTGATTGACTTACTAAAATAGAAGATTTCGAAACAAGAAGTTACGAGTTACAATACCTGTGGTGCAGTCTGTGATTTTGAGATTCAGTAACTTATGGACGTCTTTAAGTTTCGGAAAATAAAGGAAACTAACAATTATAGAAGTAGCTGCGAGCTTGGTAGTAAAATCAAAAATTTTATACATGATCACTAATAGGGTTAGGTTTTATCCTTCTGAAACCATGACTTACTTTTTAGATTGTCAGACATACATACATACAGACAGACAGACAGATAGATAGATAAATAGACAGACAGACAGATAGAGAGATAGATAGATAGATAGAGAGATAGAGAGATAGACTTACTTTTTAGATTGACAGACAAGCATACAGATAGATAGGTAGATAGATAGATAGATAGATATAGATACATAGATAGATAGATAAGAGAGAGGCTGCTAAAAATATATTTAATACAAGAAATAATCAATTGATTTTAAAACAAAAGTCTAGAAAAGATTTTTAAAAAAGATCTCAGAGAAATATATCTGTCAGGTCAGACCATCACAGTTTTAATCCAGGATAATCATTTGTCATACAAATGTTCAAACTATCTCATGTTCACACATACACACTTTCTCTCTCACAACTCCCCCCCCCCCCCTCAGTGTTACCCCAAAAACGTCATTTTCAAAAAGCCTCGTCACTTATCCTGGGTAATCCTTCTGTAATATCCTCTTGGGTCATCATTCTTTCCTGGCTCTAGACACTTCTAGGAGACGTACTTAGCAATGTTGCTCTAGTCCGACTCCCACAGTTGTATCTATCTATCTATCTATCTATCTATCTACCCGAGGAAATAAATCCTGCTGACTTCATGTCTGTCAAGACAGCGACAGACAAGAAGCGGAACGGTATACGGTCAAAAGGGCTGCTCCAAAACGTCACGTACCGCTCCTCATTTCCCTTCCATCCGGGTAAAAAAAATTCCTGGTGAAGCCAATGTGTAGATGTACTAGACTTAATAGAATTCATAATATTCAAGCCTTTAGGACTAGACTAGACAAGACGATGCACACAATGTTCCAGAAGATCGATTCATTTAACTCTTCAATGAATAGACCTACGTGCGGAGATACCAAAAGACGTCTAGTCTGCTCAAGATAAATATGTTCTCGTTCTCAAGCCAAATTTAATTTTAAAAAAAATTTTTAAATATAAAGGTCAAACTAGAACTTTCCCAGTGTGGCTATTGAGCTAGTAATTCTTTTCCGAACGATACACTGCAACTATCACATTTCTAGGAACATCATTAGAGCGTTTTCTATAGTGGCGATCGCCCTGTAAAAGTTTCAACCCAGGTTTTTGTTTCCATAAAGTACGAAATTGACTAGAGGTATTGTACAAGAAAAACATTTTTAAGCAAATATTGGTATCACCATGACATTATATCTACAGCTTTGGACTTGAATT